AGTCGGAGGGACCTAGCGCGCTAGGGTTTTGACAGACGGCGGGGTCCAGGACCCGGTAGGAGGAAGGTTGGAGAGGAGTGAGAGAGAGAGGAATGGGAGGTTCAGCCTCCGGGGCCGGNAGGGTGTAGTTGTGTCCCATACAACAGGGTTTACAGGATGTAATAGAGAAGGGTATGTTTCTTGATCGCTTTCAGGGAAGAGTGCTAATAGGAAAGGGGTTGTAGGAGGTGGGGGAAATATGGAAATGGAGACATGTAGCCGAGCGAGAATGTCTTGACCCAATGAGGTAATGGGACATTGAGGCATGACCAGAAATGATTGGGAAAAAGGAGAAGGAATGCCTTCAATATGGCAAGTTAGTGGAGGCATTCTGCGGGGGTATATATGTTTTCCTCCTATCCTGACTATAGGAGAAATGTTAAGTGTGGTTGGGCCCCGAAACTCCTTTAAGACCGAGAAAGTGGCTCCTGTGTCCAGGATGAAGGAGACGGGTCGGCCGTCCACGACAGTAGTTACCCTGGGCTCGCTTTTTGTGATGATCATGGTCGGGAAGGAGCCAGGGCCCTGTCAGTCTTCTTCCTCTTCAGCCAGTCCCACCAGAGGTGCTTGAGGCGCCCGGGATGGCTGGGGCTTGTTAGGCCAGTCTCCCCTTCGGGTGAATGGACAGTCAGAGCCCCAATGCCCCATTTCTTGGCACTTAGGACATGGCTTGTTGGGCTTTCTGGGTGATGGGCAGTTCTTTGACCAATGACCTTCTTTGCCACATTTAAAACAGGCACCAGGGGGAGTTTTGGAGGCAGAGGGCCTGGAAGGGCACTTAGAAGGCTGAGTAATTACTTTGGCCAGCATTTGGAGGTTGGCCAGATCAGCCTTTTGTTTGCACCATTCCTTTCCCAGTTCTTGTTCCTCCTCCCTATTATGAAAGACCTTGAAGGCCACTGATAAAATTTCAATCTGGGAGTAACAGGGCCCTGTTCCAGTTTTTTTAGCTTAGCCTTGATGTCGGGGTAGGATTGAGCCAAAAATTATGTCATGATGTGTGAGACTGTATGCCTGAAGGACCCATTGGAATTCTTTAATGTAAGTAGAGGGGTCGGTGGTGAAGGACCCTAATCTCTTTTCTAGCTGGGCGAGATCGGCTAATGAAAAGGGAACATGTACCCTAACAACCCCCTCAGCTCCAGCCACCTCATGGAGAGGACCCTCGGTGGAGGAGGGGAGGAGTCCTCGGGAATGAGTTACAGGGGGGCTAAAGGAAGGCACCAGGGCAGGTGAAATGGGAGTTGGCAGGGAACAAGATAGCAGCAAGGTGGGGCTAGAAGAAACAAGGGAGGAGGAGGCAGGAGGGAGAACAGGCTGACTAGGGAAAGCGGAAGATGGCGACGGAGTTAACTGAGGGGGTTGGGGAGCAGAGGGAGTTACAGGAGGAGGAGACCTGTGCGGAGGGGGTTCATCCGCAGGGTCAAAATTATCAGAAGTAGGGAGTAGTGAAAGCAGTGAGGATGGAGGGGGTTTGGAAGCAAGGAGAACCTGGGAAGGAGAACAGGTGAGACAGAGAGAGGGATTTTGGGCAAGCAGGTGGAAAGCCTCAACATATGGAATCTCTTTCCACTTTCTCAGGTGCTGGCAGTAGTTAAAAAGGTCCCGGAGAATATCAGGATCAAGTGTGCCCTCAGGGGGCCACTTATTTTGGTTATCTAGGGGATAATAAGGCCAATCTTGTGTGCAAAATTTAGTGAGGAGTTTGGGTTTAATGTCAGACTTGAGGGATAGGGTGGTAAGGTTGTTTAAGAGACATTGTAAGGGTGAATCACCCCAGAGGGAGGAGGCAGAAGCTCCCATTCCAAAGAGGATTAGAGAGAAAGAGAGAAGGTTTAAAAGGAGGATTGGAACGAGCCCTCCGGCTGGATGAAAATGTCGGAACTCAGAGGGCGTCCCCAATGAGTCGTGCCGTTCCCAGGAGATGGGTTCAAGGATGAACCCAGGAAGGAAGGGTGTGTAGGTCGTCACCTAGACCCTCACTTCCCGGAGGCAAAGATGCCTGGAGTCGGAGGGACCTAGCGCGCTAGGGTTTTGACAGACGGCGGGGTCCAGGACCCGGTAGGAGGAAGGTTGGAGAGGAGTGAGAGAGAGAGGAATGGGAGGTTCAGCCTCCGGGGCCGGGAACGTGTCAATGCCGGGGCCGGGGGAATGTGATTAGGGTGAAGGTTTAAATAATCTACAAGCCTGACAAAACGTAAAAGGGGCTTACCTAACGGATGAGCCGGTAGTGGATGAAGGAAGCCAGCATCGGAGAAAATGGACGAGGGCGGACTGTCAGTCCCGGGGGGGTCGCGGAGGGGTCCAAGGAAGTCCGAGGAAGGAGTCCCCTGGCTCAGGGTGAACNCATACAACAGGGTTTACAGGATGTAATAGAGAAGGGTATGTTTCCTGATCGCTTTCAGGGAAGAGTGCTAATAGGAAAGGGGTTGTAGGAGGTGGGGGAAATATGGAAATGGAGACATGTAGCTGAGCGAGAATGTCTTGACCCAATGAGGTAATGGGACATTGAGGCATGACCAGAAATGAGTGGGAAAA